ATGGTGGGTTGTCTTGCTTTTGCCTCTCCATTGCACCTGTTGTCACTTTTATTTGCACCAAAGCAGGGGAAATTGACTCACAATCCCCTGTGATTCCTAAATGGACAGATTGATATCCCCGAAGTTTTGCAGATTAAGTGTTCCCCTTTTTTTTCTGAGCAGTTTATATGTAGACAAATATAGTAAAATGTCTGGACTTGCCACTGCTCAAAGGTCCTGACAGACTAATAGATGATTTCTGTCACCTCCACAAAACCTGTTTTGTGCCTTTTTAGTTGACTTTCTCCTTCCCCAACACCTTTAGCTAAAATGCTAGTGGCAGAAAGGCTGAAGTGTTTTTGTGATGCTGGCCTTTGTCATAATGTCACACCCTGCCCTTTTCTTTCACACACTTTTTGTCTAAGCAAATCAACATGTCCAGGCTATGTGTGTGCTTGTGTAATTCTGAAAGTTGTGTGGCCTTTGGTCTTTGCAATTAAATCTTTTTCCAAGGCATATGTGTGCACCCGATCAGAAATACAGGGCATTAATCACAGCAATCAATGATTTGTGTAAAGCATTGAAAATACCCCATAGTTACTTTTGAATCTTTTCTAAGGTAACATAAATGGCACCATCACTGTGGAGCCCCCGTGCTGCTTCCCTGCCAGCTCCTACAGTTTGTTGAGTGGGTACTCGGGGAGAGAGGCAAACAGTTTGTTTGATGGGTAAAGAGCCCACAGCCTGGTGCAGTCAGGAGGATCTTACCTGCCTTGTCTGGGCTAAATTTAAGCTCCAACATCCAGTACATCACTTGTAGTCTTGTAACTAAATATTAATTAGGCCTTGCATGATCAAAAGTGTGTTAAATAGCATAGCATGTGTTTTTTGTTTAGACATTTGGCTACATTCATTTACGTTACAGTAAAAGATTATACAGCTGTTTGTCGCTGTATGAAGGTGACATGTTTTATGTTTTATTTACATTTTTGGAGTTACTTTTGCAACTGGCTGTTCCCCTGTCACTGCAGACACTTCATATTTCTCCTCTTTTTTTTCCCATCTAGTTTGTTTAATGTAATATGCTTGGTTTATCATGGAAACGGTCAAGAATAACATCTATGTAGACGTCTTTGAGCAACCAAAAAACGTCAGCAGGAATGAAGACCAATCACCAGAGTTCTATAAAAATGTTAAAATGTCACACTCCAGCAGAAATTCTTCTTAAGGCAATTTTGTATTAATCTGAAAAATTGTTGTAGCTGGAATTTAAAAAAAAAAAATGTTGATAACACTCTTCTCTGCACAATGTTGTTTTTCCTGTTAAGAAAATGACAATTAATGGTTTCAAATAATTTTGTGTTGTCTGAAATTTCAATTACGCTGTGAATGAAGTTTTCTGCAGACCCAACAAATGTCATTTTCTTGTTTTGTGAAAGACATTATGGAAGTTTTCTCTGCCCTCCATCCTCCAGTTAAAGTCTTGATCTGTTTTTATTTCTTTTTTTTTCACACTCTGTGCCTTCACTTTCTTTAATGCCTCAGAATGAGATGAAAGCCCAGTGCAATTAGGCTTCTTATCGTTTTAATTAAGAAAGCCATTCGGCCATATCTGCCTCCGACGCCATAACACATAATGGCAGAGAGTCTCTGATGCCTGAAGTAGTGTTTGTGTGCTTGTGTGCGTGTGTGTGTGTGTATGTGAATGTATGTACTGTGTGTGTACAGTATGTATGTGTGTATGTCTACAAGCTTGTGAGTGTGTGTGTGCGTCCTAGTAACACAGTTCCCAACAATCTCTCTCCCGCCCTTCCTTCCTTTTTTATCAGTCTGTGTTCTCCAATCACTATTCCCACTTGTGCCTCTCTGCAAACATGCTGTTCTATCCCTCGTTATTTCCTTCTCCTCAAAGAGACAAGGTCAAAGAGTCCTGTATAAGTACTTCAAACTCAATTCAAGTATGTTGTCTGTTGAGTGTTTCTTTTCAACCCCCCTGTCAAACATTGCCTCAACCATGCCGTTTCCTTCCTTCTACTCTTAAATATTTGTAACCGAATGGACAAATTTTATTGTATTTTTATCTGTTCCAGTTGGCGTGCATGCACACACAGGACAGAGTAACAGCTTATCAGTGTGCATGTAAACTGCTCTTTTCCCCATATCTATTTGCATAAGATGAGAGAGCTGCATGGCTGTAACCAAATTATTCCTACACTTTATTTTATTTTCCCCCCTCACCCAAAAGAGAAGAAGAATAGGGGGAAACTGTAACTATGCTGTTAGTGGTGTTAACACCCAACCAAGCTCCTCTACTCCCCCCTCTGCTCCCTCCTCTCCTGCCATCCTCCCTCCCCTCCTCTGTTACCCTGGCCTATCAGTGCAGAGCAGTGGTCTGTGAAGAAATTCCCAATATCTAAATTTACACACTGTATCAATCTTGTTTAATAGACTGGAAAGCTTATAGCCGCCGTGGCAAGCCGGCAGAGAGGGCAGCGGTGATAAATTGTCGGTGTGCAGGCGACAGCCGCCCGTGATGTATAATGAAATATTTATGATTTATCCCAGCTAATAAACTGAAATGAAGTGCGTGATGTATGGGAACAGATGGGCCCTCTATTGATGCTGAAGCGGAGAGGCAAGAGGGGGAAGAAGAGACGGGAAGATAGGTGGAGAGAAGGAAACAGGAGATGTGATGCTCCAGAGGTAGTGAGAAAAAAATAGAAGGATGGGAGTAAAAAAAACAAAAAAAAAAAAAACATAGTTGTGTCTGTTGGGCTGACACTGGAGCAGGAGAAGCTGAAAACGTGGGCAGAAATGAATGATGGATAGAGGGATACAGGGTTAGAGTAGAGAACAAATAAGATTAAATGATGGAGTAGAGGACAGACGGAAGATGGCAGTAAAAACAGGCCACCATCAAAATGAAATCCTTCTCCTAAAATGCTTCATCATGTTGATTCCAGGTAAGACGATGCCAGTTGTTTTCTTTTATTGATTCCATATTTCAAGTGTAGACTTTTTTTCCTGCTGTGCTAGCAAACTGAGGTCCAAAATCTCCCGGTGCAATCCCCCCCACCCCTCTTAAGAGATAAAGTTATAGTTCCACAGTTTGGAAAATACATGCATAAGCTTTATTGCCAAGAGTCAGATGAGAAGATTGATACCACACTAATATCTGTTTGTTATATACGAAGCTACCACCTGCAACTTGTTTGCTTAGTTTAGGAAAGAGACTAAAAAGAGGAAATGTGAAACAGGAACAGCTAGCCTGTCTGTCCAAAGGTAATAAAATCTGTCTACCAGCACATCTACCAGACCTGTGGCTCAGGAGGTAGAGCAGAGGAGCAGCAGTCCACTAAGCAGAGGGTTGGCAGTTTGATCCCCGGCTCCTCCTACTGCCAGACCAAGATACTGAACCCCAAATTTGTGAATGAATGGACTAGTTTTTTTTGTAATGAGCATTTGCCATCACTGTATGAATGGGTGTGAATGGGTGTGAATGGGTGAATGTAGCTTTGAGTGGTCAGAAAACTAGAAATACGCTATACAAGTACAGTCCATTTACCATTTCTGTCTGAGGCTCATTAATTAACACATTATATCTTGTTTGTTTAATGTGTACAAAAACAGACAAAACAAATGTGGTTTTCAAGGGGTGTAGTTGTGGAATGTAACCTCTTCCTCAGATCATTAAAGCCCCAAATTTCCAGAGATGAATTGTCCTCTGTGTCCTCAGTGGTACTGTAGCTACAGCCGCTGCCTCTGTCCCTGACCTCTGCTGACCTCTCAGCCCACCACCTTTATTCAACCCTCCTACCTTAACTACAGCATCCGCTTAACCTCATCACAGTGTCACACACACCCCACACCCCACAGCACACTCACACTCACACATCCGTTCACTCCTCGGTCCCAGCTGTGGACGCACCACCTGTAATAATCCAGAAGAACACCTTCCTGTTCCTTCTTTTCTCTTCTCTGCTCCTTCCCTCCTCTGTCCATTTTTCTCCCCCTCTGTCTCTCTCTACTCATCCATACTGACCCATTTCCTCTGCTCGCCATCCCCAGGCCCAGCTGAGCCCCTCATCCCACATACTGTACTCATCCTCCCCCACACCTGTCCCCCAGACACCTACGTGTGTGT